AGGAAGAAATTTACTATTCATTATTTAACATAGTCCCCCACTTCCCAAGCCCTAAGTTCTTTTCACCCTCGTCCAAGTAGCCTTTATTCCAGGTGGGATCGTTGCTGTGTGTGTGTATGTACGTGCTTTCCCTTCCTCTTATTCCCAAAACAGCCTTTTCACTTTGATGGAACAGCTGCTGCTTCAGTTTAGTTTGCAGAGACACTGAGAGCTTGTGTAGTAATGTTTGCTTTGATTTGTTTTCTCTTTCCACTCTTCTTATATTTTTGCTTTCTTTTTTTCTTTGTGATGTGACATTCTCAGCTGATGTGTTGAAAGCAAATCCTAATTTTGGAGAACAGATCACAAGAGTGAGTGTCCTTCTACTAGTGTCTGTAGCTGTACTTCTTTCTTTTAATTTGGTGTGTGCACATGTCTTCCCTTCTGAAAGCTCAGCCATGCTTAGTAAATATTACTAGGTAAGAGACCCCTTTCCCTGTCTTGTGAAATCTTCATCTCTTTCACAAAGCAATGTTCACTTTACATTGGGTCAAATCACGTCCTCACATTTGAGCCCTTTGGATTTTCAGATCCCAGCCTGTGAAGAATCTCTCTGTAGCTCTGCTCTAAGCAAGAGTCAGCCTTTGGGAAATGTTACTTTGAATTAAACAGTTTTTCAGTTTTAGGCCGAGGGTTTTCAGAAGTGACTGCGGATTGTAGGAGCTCCACGTGAGCCCCCTTACAAGAATGGGTTTTTCAGAGGCGAGTGCTCCACTCTTTCTGAAAGCCGGGTCCTTTAAAGTGTCTCAGTTTGGGCCCCAAAAAACAGGCAGCCAGATTCACTAGTCCATGTTGAAAACCAGAGCTGCTTGCTGACCGTCTGCGTGGGTCAGGACGCCGCCCATACGCTCACTGTGTCTGCAAGCTGAGGCTACGTCTGCACGATGAGAAAAGGTCGAATTCATGAAGGTTGACTTTGTAACACTTCATCTGGTGACGTCGAAGGTGCATATTCTCACTGTGCGTGAGAATTGGATGCAGGTTGAAGTGGTGCATGCCCAGTGGGGAGGCTGCCATCGCCTTTGAGAGCTATGCACTGTGGGTAACTCTCACATTGCCTGTGCCCCTTTGCACTCTGGGTTATTCTCCCAGTGCCCACTGGGCCAAAACTGTGCAGGGGAGTTCTGGGTACATGTTATCAGTGTCCCATGATGCACTCATTCTCCTCGCCTTCCCCCACCCCCACCCCAGCTTGAAATCAACAGCAAACAGTCTTTTCGCACCCTTGTTTCCCTTGGTTATCTGTGCAGAGGCTATAGCTAGCTACATGGGCATGGAACCCATCGTGGGTCCCCTTGTGCATCAAGCCATGATGATGTTCGCCATGGTGCGACTAATGCTGGAGTTTGGCCAGAGCGTATTGGGCCCACCACAATGAGGAAAAATCTCGGGAGGCCAGGAACAGACTCTTCTGGGGTACACCTTGCCCCAAAAGGATCCATTCAACAAATACTCTTCTCTTTTCCATAATGTGTGTATCTAGTTTTTTATAATCTATATTCACTAAAGAAATAGAGCTATTGAAGCAGTAGTTCATAATCTGTCGGAGGAGTGACCTTTTCTGATGCACTATTATGAGCTTGCTTGTCTGCTAATACAGAACAGAAACTTCTGAAGAAACTTTTGAAACAAGGCCCAGGCTGCGTTGTGGTTATGGGGCGGT